TCTCCGCTATTTACACGTAAAAAATAGAAGCGTCCGTCAAGGTTCAAAAGTTTCCAATTTAGCAAGAGGGCGCCATTCATACGTTATTACCAAAGAGAAAAAGTAATCAGTTTTGGAAGAGGGCGTCCTATCTGTTGCCATGGATCTGAGATGGTTCCTGTTCTGCTGTTCACGGGATTGTTTGCATTTAAACTAATAAACTCTGGGCCTAGGCCTAAATAATATTATTAATATTATTACTAATTACTGTATCACATTGCTGGTTGAAACATTATTTACCTGTTCTTGTCCTTCGGAAATTTGTAAAATTTATGGTGAGGATTTGCCTTTGAATTGCTTTTGCAAACCGCACAATATTTTCCTCCACTAAACCTCATTTCATTAATTAATTAATTCATTCATTCATAGTTATTTCTTAATTTTTACTCACTCTGAAAGTTGTTCGCGTTACGCCAAAATTCGTTACCAAGTACGTTAATTGTTTTAAAGGGATGGCGCATTGTACTAAATCGATGCGTCTTTGTTACGTGTAAAGGTAAAGCCGCGTGGTGTACGGTATGATAAGAGCGGTCAAGGGTCAGAAGTTTCCAATTTAGCAAGAGGGCGCCATTCATGCCTTATTACAGAATTTGCATGCGTAAATCGTGGAGAACGCTGTCTTGTGTTTATAAGATCTTTGATTTGAACTCATCACTGAGGACGATTTAGGTGATCAGATATCTCCCGGTGCTTAAAATTATGATTTAGAATTTTCAAACTGTGCAGTTCAATATCAAGTCTGCACCCTCTCTCGGCTCGTCAAAGAATTATAAAAAAGAAAAAGGTTGCGGAGAGGAAAAAAAACAACATTCATTTTTACCATGATGATGTCATCAAAGTGAAAAATAAAGGACACATTCCCCTACACCAACAAAACAAAACAGGGGTTTCAGCAAGGACTGTACATCATTGCTATTACCACTGATAACGCAAGTCGCATGAATGGCGCGGTCAGATGAGCATGAGTTCTAAAGAACGCCACTGGGATGCAACTCAATGTCAATATAAATGTCACCATATGTAAGTGCATGTGCTTTATGAAAAGAGTACCCAAAATTGATCTCGCTATACAGAACAAAGTTATGTATAAAAGTAGATTGTGTCAAAATTTCTAGGCATATGTGAAAACCTTAAATTGGATAAGCATGTTGATAATTTAGCACATAGGGTTAACGGCGAACTGTGTATGTTAAAAATCGTTAAAAAAAATTTTGCCTTATTGAAAGTTGAAGGTTATTAGAATATGTTACTCCTGTTTGGAATGCTGGGTTGACCTTAGGACATACAAAAAACTTTATAAAGATTACAAAAAAGATCTCTAAGAATTATCTTAGGTAACAACTACATTAACAGCTATAATGAAGCTTGTCTCAGATGTAATGTTGAGCCCCTTTCTGAATATAATATTTGACAAGGGGGATGGTCCATTGTATCATCCACCCCAATATTTTGACTACGTATGGGATAAAATTAAACTTTACACACTTCAAAAAGATTGTCACAGAAATAATTTGCAATGTCTTATGCGCCTACAAAGATGAAAATTAGCAAAATATATTAATGTTGATAACAAAATTATTTTAATCTAAGCTCTTATTTCCTTAGGTGTTAGATGTGTTTGCAAAGCAAGCCACATTTTCACACTGAAGGGTGGGTACGACATCAGTAATTTTATGTCAATTCCAAGAATTTTTACCAATCCAATCCAACTGCCTCTAGGTGCAGCTTCGTATGTTTCTGCACCAAACTAAGGCAAAAACACTCGGTGCTGCATCAACCGGGTATAAGTATACGTCAACAGACGTCAGGGCCCTCTTTCCAGAGGTGTTATCACTCCTTAAGTTAATGCTGGTCTGTCCAGTTACCTCATGCGAGTGTGAACGCAACTTCTCAACATTAAGGCAACTCAAGACCTGGTTGAGAAACAACATGACGCAAAGGAGGCTAAACTATTGTGCGCTGGCCAACATCCACAAGTCAAGTTTTGATCAATTCCGATGAAATTAGAATTAAAAACACAAATTTTTGCGTGCATTTTTCTGGGCTTTATAGGGTTAGCTTTCTAAGTTATTTAAACACATAATAGTCCCAGACCCAAGAAAGAAAATTTAAAATAGGCGTAGATCGTTTTACCTAAAAGAAGGACCTCAATGTGTAATGATGGTGAAAGAATATGTTTGTAATAAATAAAGCCATAACGAAAATGCTTTTATTCAGTTTCAAAAAAACATGTGTGGCCATACAGTATATAACATAAGCCCTAAACGCAAAAAAAAAAAGTGCGTGCTTCGCTTGCATTTTTGAGGGTGAGAATTTGTGCTTGTCCTCCTTTCCCTTCTAAGTTAATTGAACAGTCCCAACCCAAATAGAAAAAAACATTTAAGATAGATCTTTTTACCTAAAAAATTATTACCTTTGCCCCCCCCCCAACCTAAGACCCCTGTTATGCGCCTGCATGGTGGGTCTGAGGTGGTATAGAATCTCCAACTGTGAAAGTCTCTCCCTAGCCTCAATTTCTGGATGTATATTATATCATTTATTCGTTGTTAAAAAATTAAAAATAACAATGCACACCTAAAATCCCACGATGGAATTGATGACCAGAACCCAAAAAAGGCCCCAAGTTTCAGAAATACACAGGGCCCCCGGTCCCATCATTACGCCACCGACTAAGAGGTTTATCGTTCATGGGAGAATGTAGGCCTGTTTAGTGTAAAAATGAAGAAAGTCAATAAAATACTATAAATTATTAACTTATTCTTCCACTTCTCTTTTTGCTGCACATCAATCACCTCCCTCATGGCATTCAACAAGCGTTGTGTATATCTCACAGATATAGATATGCCATATTTTTAATTGTAAATTTTATTTTCATTTTGATTAAAATTTCAAAAAAGTAGTCAACAAATTGCACCAATTTATTTTGCAAAAACAAGGTTTCCAGCTTCAGAGGGGGCACATCCCCTGTCGGCACAAGCGCACACGTTGGCGTTTAACACGCCAATCATCCCCTCCAATGAAAAATACTTTTCTATGCCACTAGTGGGACCATGTGAGCGGTCGCTCTTGTTTTGTATTCAGAAGGCAATATGATGTCACAATGTCCGATCAGCCATAGTGAGCTATAAAATCATATCTACTCATGTGTGTAATAAATATTGGGGGTCACCTTTCATTCAAAAGAGATATAACTTATTTAAAATAGGCATGATTTTGAGCATTTAAAAGAGTTAAAGCTTGAGTATGCTCACGTTATGATGCACACACGGTAAATTAAGGTACATGACATTCATACTTGCAGGGCTGAAAATTAACCTCTAAACCCAAGTAGCCAGCAGGGCCACTGTAAAATACACGCCACTGGCCCTGGTCAAAATCGGGTCATCCTGGCTTTTTTCGGCATAACATTACAAAATCAAATACTGTACAAACATAACTTTATATACCTTCAATCTTGTATATGAGGTCTAGAACTGAATTTTACCTCTGCTGTATGGCATTGTATCTCTAGAAATTCTGCTTTAACATGGTAAATGAACAGCTTTCATGATCTACTGTACTGTAACAACACTACAACAGAGTAATAATATACAGAATAGTGTGATAGTGAAACACATATTTACACCTACTTTTATGCGACAATATGTACTTATTTTTAAAAATTTGAATAATTAATGAATGTAGTTTAATAGTCTCTAATTTAAACTGAGTCGATCCATAGATGAAAAACTTTTTCAGCCAGGGACGATCGCCACTGCCACCAGGAAAGCTCGACAGTACATCATCATATTTTTGGCGCAGCCGTTTCTGGCTTTTGGTACTCCAGCCAAGGCCGACGTGCTGAAATTTTGTTAGAAATCTTCTGTTTCTTGATTCGTTCTCATACCTTCGTTGTGTAGACTGAGTTTTTTCATTGGTTTTGTTTTTTTAGTTGGTGGTGCCAAAGAGTTTTCCAAATATCTCCACATTCCAGGATCTTGACAGTCCAAATGAATCTTCTTTTAAGAAGAATTCATGAAAATGGAAGGCAGTAAAAGAGAAAAAATACAACAAAGCACATTCTCAAAATCCACTGTATAACTTTTGTTGTAGAAATCAATTATTTTAGGGATTTTTTTTCTTGGTCGTCAAACAGGGCGATGTTTACAAAAATGTCTGTCGCCCTGAGCAATTGTAGTTGCCACAGGCTATCTGACGACCATTAATTTCTAGCTGTGTCCTTGATCTGAAGTTTTATGCCCATTAAATATGATTAGAAATAATAATTGGTTATGATGATATGCGTTCATCAAAGCCTTGAGAAAAGAAAGATGAGGAGGAGAGGGGGAAGTTGGTCAGAAATTTTTGACCATGATGACATTATCAAAATGTTTTAAAAAGTCACATTTTTAAAGAGAATGGTCTCAAATACTCAAAGTTATGAGACGATCGATCAAAGATAAAGTGAGATACACTCAAATGAGTATTTTAACAAATGACATCATAGATAAAAAATTAAGTTTTTTTTTTATTTCAGATGGCAATGTGATGACGTCACAATGTCCGATCAGCCATTATGATCTATAAAATCATTTCTACAAATCATGTGCTTTAAGAATAAGTAATAAAAATTCGGGGTCATCTTTCATCCTAAGGAGTTATAACTGATTGAAAATAGGCATGATTTTGGCAAATTTTCGTGAAGCGGATCATCAAAAATATTTATTATTTAGAGGCTCAATATGATCCATAGTGAAATTTATTGAACAAAAAGAAAGAAATAATAAAGTAGCAAAGCAAAAAGATAAAATGAAATTTTAAAAAATCTGATGAATCGTACACGTCTCCTACAAACAGCTGAAACACTGAAGAACAAGTTAACTTACTCAAATCTGTACCAGATACCATAAGAGTGATATGTGATTACAAAGGAAAAGTGCTCACTTATTAAACATTTTTATCCATGTTTCTATAATATGTAGGATTGGGCAACAGCATTGCACATAAGTGCTTTCAATGGACATACTGATATTTGTAGACTTCTCATTCAATCTGGAGCCAACAAGGATATTCAAAAGAAAGTATGTGCAATGCTGTTACATTTTTGTTTCTGGTCTATTAAATTTTATGTAGTAAATCCGATATATCATTAATGCTAATTGATGAAGTCGTATATTTTTTTTAAATTTTTCTATTCTAATAAACTATATGTTGACATACTTTTTATTATTATATATGTTCCCCACTTGCACCAGTTACCATAAGATTTGTAGAATATGGCAACGACATGTTTTATAAAGATAGGATGAAGAGAGGATAAAAGATCATCTCTCTTAGTTTATGTCATTTATACACAGTTCTAAGGATGCTTAGAATATGATGAACGATTGGTCTTTCGAATGCATGATAATTAGAAAATAAATGATGTACCCAATCTGTACCAGATACCATAAGAGTGATATGTGATTACAAAGGAAAATCGCTCACTTATTAAACATTTTTATTCATATTTCTATAATATGTAGGATGGGGTAACAGCATTGTACGCAAGTGCTCAAGAAGGTCATACTGATATTTGTAGGCTTCTCATTCAATCAGGAGCCAACAAGGATATTCAGGTGGAAGTAAGTGTGATGTTACATTTTTGTTCCTGGTCTATTAAATTTTATGAATTAAATCTGATGTATTTTGTATGCTAATTGGTTAAGTTGTATATTTTTTTAGGATCCATAATCTAATATACTTTATATGTTGACACGATATATTTTTATATAACCACCCCATCTGTAGCAGATACCATAAGAGTGATATGTGATTATAAAACAAAAGTGCTCACTTATCGAACATTTTTATCCCTTATTAGTATAAAATGTAGAATGGCGCAGTGACATTGTGTATATATATACATACATAATACACACATATATACATACATAGGCCTACATAAACACACATACATACATTCATTTTACTAACGCTCCTACTAAGCCCAGGGTTGTTTTATCGTGAAGGTGTGCTTAGAAGTATCGTTCAATCTTCCCGCCATTAGATGTGGTTCCATATCAAAAGCCACCCGCCTTGCAGTTTATTACATTATACTATACCCTGTTTGATTTTGTGCGTCTTTTAAGTGAGTTTTATATGATGTATCTTATGCCAATTTTAGTATCCATATTCTAATTTACTTTATACGTTGACATACGATATATTTTTATATACATCACATGGTATATAAAACAAATGTGCTCACTTATCCAACATTTTAATCTATACAGTATTAGTATAATTTGTAGTGTGGGGCAATGACATTGTGTGTGTTTTCATATGCAAAAGCTATATGCATAGACATCTGTCTGCTGCTGCTGCTGCTGTCGTCAAGAACAGACATACTTTACTGATGCTCTTGCTAAGTCCCTTTTGTTTTACTGTGAAGGTGATTCTAAACCACACCTTGTTTTTAGCAGGGCTATATTATAAGCGCAATAATATTAATATACCGTACTTGATATCCAGTATTTATAGCAGATACCATAAGAGTGCTACCGTAAAATCTCGAATTTAAGCACTAGGCTTTCTTTTTTCCTTTTTTTTTTTTTTGCGAACTTTGGATGGCTTCTTTTCGAGTCCAATTCTGCAAAGTAAAGAGTGGGCTTCTTTTCAAAATGAATGCTGTTTGAGTATATGTACTATAAACAATAAATAGGGCCACTGTAACATCAATCTGTATCATGGAGTGTATTAACTATAAATTCATGTACAGTATGTATACTGTACTATTTCGGAAAGAAGCTTATGCTATCTTCAAAAGAAGCCCATAATCTTCTTTTATAAGATGGGATTCTTTTTGATTATAATTTTGCAAACTGAAGAGGTGGGCTTGAATTCGAAATTGGGCGTCTTCTTGAGGTTAAGTCCATTGGATTTTAATTCGAGGTTTTATAGTCCTACGTCCTCATTGATTTTTTTTTAATACTTGTATTACTTCCCATCTGTCCTAATAGAAAATAATAATTGTGAAAAATAATAAAATATGAAAAAAGTATTCTATAGATGAACAAATAAAAAAAATAACAAATAATAAAATAATATAAAAACAAAAAAGAGGGAGATTTGGACCCCATACATTCAAGTAACTTTACACATAAGACCTGCACCTTTACTGCTCTCGGCGTCATTTCACCTGATATGTATAACTGGCAATAATACACGCCTATTATACAACAACCAGCAGATTCAGCGCATCGACTATATACAAAGATATGGCTCAATAGGGTGAGGGTTTGTAAGCTCAGATTATCTTGTTATTAATGTATTCATTCTTTTATTATTTCCAATCATTTCATCCTGTTTTAATTTATAATATATTATGGAAGACAATAGCTCTTATGTCAATAAATTATGCATGTGGAATTTGGCATGATAACTCCAAAAAAGATAATTATGACTTGAGGAACTTACATCTGCAAATGGCCAGATTCCTACTTAAAGCTCCTCAGTGTACACCTCAGGAAGCACTTTATGGTGATTTGGGTTGGACCCAATTATCTCAAACACATGAAGTAAATAAATTAAATTTCTTAACCGAATCGTAAAAATGAATGTAAACCGGTGGCCTAATATTTTAATCCTCTGCATGTGTCAACTCGAATGTGATTGTGATGTGTTGAAATATCCTTTTTTAAATTTATGTAATACATTAGTTAAGTTTTGAACTTGTTCGAACAAATCTTTGATTTTAATAACTTTACTTTTAATAACTTCTAGACTTATATTGCAGATTTTTACAAAGAAGATTGGATAAACAAAATAGAACGAAAGACATCTCTAGGAGGTTATTCAAAATTAAAATCCAGCCCAAGCCTTGAAAAATATCTTCTAGATAAAATAAATTTTTTAGGGGCAAGTTTAAAATTTAAATAAGATCAAATAATCTACCCCCAGATGGCAGGACCTGTAAGTGGTCAAAAGAGATATCCGGCCATTGTACCTTGTGTGAAAATGGTGAGATCAAAGATGTCAGAAACTTTTTATTTATTTGCAAATAATTTGATGTTATTAGGGAGTCTGTATTATTAAATTTGAAAATAGATCTTGCAATATGGGAAAAATTTAAATTTAATTATTTAAAACTTGCATTGGAGAAACGTTCATATTTGATTTTACATTGTTGCTTTAAGTTTCTTTTCTTTGTTCTATGATAAAATAATAGGCCTAATTGTAGCCTTTTTTCCCTTTAATTCTAAGTTTGTTTTCATTGATACTTTTGTTAAGCTTTGTCTAAATTTATTATGTTTTCTTTAACACAATTTGTTTAATTTATTTTTTCTTATTTTTTTAAATCTTTTTTATTTATTTATTTATCTATTTATTTATCTATTTTCGGGACCAACTAATACTCACGCCTATAGTCTATTCACTCAATAACGAAACGCTAGAATTAAATGCATGCAGACCATCATTTAAATATCATAACAATAATTTAATATGAATCAATGGATGTGGACATTAAGAACGGTAAATCCATAGTCCTCCAATTAAATTCACTCCTGGTTACTGTGCATAATATCGTAACCAATAATTTAATGTGAATCAATGAATGACAACCTTAAGAATGTTAAATTCATATAACTAGCCCTCCAATAATACATAGTTATGGATTAACATTCACTTCTGGTTACTATACACAATATAAACCAATAATTTCAACTGGTTCCCAGAGCTTACTATATTATCATTATCATGAATAATGTTTCCACTTCTATATAATAAACGTTTGCCATATATATATAACATAAGATTATCAATAAGGTTCTAGGATATAAGAGTAACTCCTAGTATCATGATATGGTCATAGAATAATGCAACTAATGTCAATCTAACAATATAACCAAAGTTAAATACTAGTTACACAAGAGAACAAATATTCGATTAACTAATGTCAACCTCTATCAGAACTATGATATTCATTATCAGTAATCCATATTAAAAAAAATTGTCATACCAGGCTAACACTAATCATACCGGTTATAAATGCAACCTATGACATTCATACTGACTCCTTCTGTTGAGTATTTACATGTAGTAACATTCACACCATTGGTTCCAAATATAATGGGCACATAGCTATTCTTGCTAGGAGTCCAGACTGCCAATTGCTGCCCGCTCTCATCAACTGTCAACGGTAGACTATTAATATAAATTAATAATAAACATAAAATAATACTAATAACAATAGTTACAAAAATCATGCCATCATCGCATGCCCATAACATTTCAATCATGGCGAATTTACACAAAACCAACATCAATACATATACCATGATATTAAAACGATACAATAATTTTCACATAAATGTTGTAGTCAATTGAACTACATATAATGGTGATTGTTGCATTACTGTAACTACAACATTTATATTATTATTGTCTCGTATTGATGCAGTATATGTAAATGGTAGCCAACAACTTGTTATTTCAGTAAATTTCCATAAGCATAAAAAGAAATTTACTTGAATTCTCTATTTAGCAAAAATGTGACGTAGAAAATGGTTTGGTAATCACTGGTGCACATCTCACCAACGGCGTCTTGTGTCTGATCGTGCATAGTACTTTGAGACAACCGAACAACATGAGTTGTGTCCAACCGTAAGACTATATGCACTTCAAAACCACCAGAGCACTAATGTTTACACCACACGTACGTCCACCCGACGCACCGACCAAATTCTAATTTAATAGAACTCTACACTGTTTTGCATCCTCAGGTGTTGTATTGAACTACGTATTGAACAACACATCCAGGACACACATATATGCAAATTAACAAACTGTTTGCATTAACTTTTAATTTATCGAGAATCTCAATCCACTGTGACATCTATTTTATTGTATTTTATACTTTTATTTTTGTTCCTCAGTATTTAATAGGCCTTATGGTTAGGCCTTTTGTTTTTGTTTACCGTAATCCTTGTTTAGTTTTCGTAGATACTTTTGTTAAGCCTTGTCTAAATTGATTATATTTCTTTAAAAAGAGCATTTTTTTTCCCCTCTAAGTTTTACTCTTTGAGGTCGTGGTCCGTATCCCATACGGAGTAATTCACTGTCCCTGGATGCACGGCCTGTATACGGTACAGACCTATTTCTCCTATTGTTTGTTTATTATTAAAATAATGCTGCCCTCTGTTACTGACCCTTTTAGGGGATTTCCCTAACGTCATAGTAACTAGACAAGGCTTAGCGATTGTATAGAGCAAAAATCTGCAATTTTTTCTGTCAGTGGTTGATGTACTTGGATAGACGAGGATAGCGGGATTGTTCATATAATGATTAATTAATTAATTGATTAATTAATAATATACATAATACGAATCTGAGGAAAGATTTTAACTAGAAACTTCAGCAGCGCAACCAGTAATGCTAGGCCTAGGTCTGCAAACGTTCATTTCGGGTTTGTTCATGTACTCATGTACATGGACCCCCATCACATATTTCAATACCCCTACCCCCATCTTCTCTATTATTATTATTAATATTATATTATTATTTCATCAATTGTACTATATAAGTTTCAGTGAAATATATCCTAGGTCCAGTAGTCCACCCTATTTAGAAATAAGCATGTGTA